CAGGCAGGCCTCAATGCAAATGCTCCGTGAAGTCTTTGCTGAGCTTTAGATGTTTTTAAATGACTTAAAATGAAATATTTTTAAGCCCCGACTGTTAGCTTTAAAACTGCAGCAGGGCATGCTGGGAATCAATGGCAGTGAGTGCTGCTGCCTTGTAAAAAACCCAGTCCTAAATGGTTCATCCTAATGTTATTGGCAGATGTGGTTTTATACTTTTGAATTCCTTGGAGTTGCTGGAAAGGAAAAGAGAACATATAGATATGCCTATGCAGATGAAATGACATCATAAAATACCTGACTATAAAGCAAGGGGACCCTGTGGCTGGATTACTTGTTATTGAAATGGGGAGCTCTTGCAAAGGAGAAAGAGCATCATTTGCAACTGAATGTTTTCAATTACTTTTTATGGTGCTCGGTCATTCTCACCACAACATGTATATTGGGACGAAAGATTATTTTACATTCTAAGTGAAAGGAGTGCACATGCAGCATTTACTTTGCAAATGGAGACCCTGTTGCCTCTCACCACTCTACTGAAATATGGCAAATCGATAGCAGTACCTATAGAGTCACTAAAATGTTTTTTTTTCCTGTCAAATTATTCCTTTCATTGTAATATCCAATTTCACCACAATTAACTATATTAGCCACATATTCCACAACCTGGTAATACTTGTCACATTGGTATTTAACATCAAATATACTCAATTTCGTTCTGGACTGGAAATGCAATTATAGGTGTATCTTTTTCATTTCCCTTTTTTTTTTTTTTTTTAACAATAGCAAAACAATACTAAAATGCCCGTATTACTATAGTTTAAGGACCAAAGACAAAGAAAAATGGGAACTGCAACCACAATTCAAACACCTGTAATGTAATTCATTGTTCCAACTGAAACTTGAGAGGGCAGGAAGTAGGCACTGAAGGACACAAGCTCAGGACAGGCCCAGAGAAAAGCTGTTCCACTGAACAAGGACTGTTCTCCATGAGCGTCCTTAGGCATGTATCCATGGTCATTATATCTTTGCTTTGTCCAGGTCTCCAAGGAAGAGCATAGACCACCCCTCTCCTCCCGCCTCCCACCCTGCCCTTGGACTCATTCATAATATCTTATTTGAGGGCTAGGAAGAGAGATTTGCATACAAAATATTTTTCACCACCTGGAAAAACAATCTACCTAAAAGCTAATTCCTAAAGTTCACGACTGTGAGGCTGGGTGCATCGCAGCCATTGTCATGCAAACACAGTTGTAAGTAATAATGTGGCCTTTAATGACAGAATGATGGACCTGCCAAACACTTGCTCCTGCCATAGACTGCTTGCATTTCCCTGCTGGAGAGCACAGAGATGCCCATCTGGGAGTTATTAACATATCCTCGTCAATTCAGAACCGACTTTAACATAATCCATATTTGTTGGAGAAAGTCCAACATCAGCTTGAGAACAGCAGTCACGTGTCTCAATGACACATTTCAAACAGCACACACGGAGCATGCTTGGGCAGCTAAGCAATTCAGAAATGCAAATAGCTAAAGCATTCTCCTGACTAGACAAAAAGGACAAATCCCTCCTGGCAAGGGACTGGATGCCCTCTTAATGTCGCAGGAAAACAACCAAACCAGGAAGGGTATGAATTTCAGAGGCATTAATTTGGGGTTTGGTGAGTTGCCGAGAAAGTTATCTCTTGGTTTATTCCAGTCATGTTGGTGCAATCAACATTAAAACTTTCCCAAGAAAATGTTGAAAAACTGTATTTCTTTGGAACTTTGCAAGTTAATATAAAACTCATTTAGTGAGCAAATAATAATCAGGACATGGAAATTCCAGAAATAATGGCAGACTCTATAAGTTATTAAAACATTTTCCAGTCTCTATCTCTAAAGCATTATGCTGTTGTGAACAAATGGAAGGCAGACCAACATGAGAGAACAGGGAATCAATAAGTAGACCTTATTGTATTGGAAATTTAATAAATGATAAAGGCAGTATTTAAACAGTGGAGAAAGATGAACTTTTAGTAAGTGTGTTGGGATAACTAGTTAATCATAAGGAAACTAGATAGAATTGTATCCATTTCTAACACTGTAGACAGGATAAATCCTAATTGGTTTAGAGCTCTAAATTTTAAAAAGAATTAAATTATAAAACAAGAAGAAAACATGTGGATATTTATAACATAAGAAAAATTATTGATAAATTTAACTATATTAAGAAATAAATTTGCATTGCAAAAATTTAATAAGCAAAGTGAAAAACACAATAACTAATCAGAAAAGGTTTTTAAAAACTTCCAGTTTAAAGAGTTACTACTTGTAATATATAAAAGCCTTCTAAAGGGAGAAAGGTAAAAGATCAATGAGCAAAAGAGGTGAGTAGAGAGCTCACAGAAAAAGAAATGCAAATTGCTCTTATATATATGAAAATATTCACAACTTCCCATAACAAAAAAAGGTACTAATCAAAGCAAAACTGAGATACTCTTTCTCACCAATCAGACTAGCAAAAATCCCAAACTTTGACTATATGTTGATGAGGCTGAAAGAAAACAGGCACTGCCAGACATTGCTGTAGGAAATGGAAAATGGCAAACCCCTCTGCAGGAGAATTTGACAATATTCTGCATTTATCCTTTGACCCAGCAATCTCATTTCTGATAATCTATCTCAAAATGCACTAGCAAATACATGAAAACTTATATGCAGAATGCTATTCATGGCAACACTCTTTTGTAATACCAAAGTATTGTAAATAGACAGTCATTAAACCTTTGTCTCTCAGCCTCAGAACCCACAGGTTGTATTATTGTGTAGATTTGCATTCTGGACCTCTGCTGACATTCCTTTCCCTCCTGGCTTCTGTTAGTCTCTGCCTGCAGGGGGCGCTGTTCCTAGACTGGCACTATGAATGGGGAATAAAGGATGCTACTAGCATTTCTATTTTGCCTCCGCTTCCTTTGAGTGTCACAACAGCAACACTTCTCCACTCCAGCAATAAGAATTTGTTCTCTGCTGATTGAATTACTGCCTTTTCCATGTACTAAATGCTTATCATGTTGATTCCACAATTCATTTGTAAGAACAAACAACATCTAGGAACACCTGGGCTTTTTAATAAGTAGTGTTGGACTAACTGTTTAACCACAGGAAAAATAGATAAAACTGATTCCATTTCTGGCACTCGTCATAGGATTGGTTCCAAATTGTTATGAGATTTACATATTTTTAAAATGAAATCATAGAAGTGGAAGAAAATGGGAGCACTAAGGTATCACACGAGTAGTAACTATAGGAACTAACAACCAACTATGACAATGGAAACAAAGGGGAAAAGCTGCAGTTATTGAAACTCAGAAACATAAAAAGGGGTCAACAGAACTGGCACTTAGACCTCTGAAGAACAGGCACTGCATGGCTGGTGCCGGCATCTTTGCATACGGAGTCCTGCAGAGCTTCCATGCAGATCTCCAATGGAGGGCAACCAACAAATTTGTTATCTTATAGCACAATAAGTATCTGTCTGTGAGAATTAGAAAGAAACTCTAATATGGAATCAACTACTCATTTCAGAGAATATTAGGAAGTCATCTCAGTATTTTGAAAATTGGAATATATGTAAAAAAGAATCTAGCATTCATCCTTCTAAATGAATTCTAACAACAGATAAACAAATGGGGATTTGTTTCTTTTTATATTCTAGCTAATAAGAGTTACAATACAGTCATTCTGATGAAAGAATGGACTTAAGCAATAATTAGTGACTGCTAATATCATAAAATAAGAGAAAATCAGACATAATATGCCTACTGGTGGAAGAACATGAGTTACTATTGCCAGAAAAGGAAAAAAATGTTGAATGCAAATCTGACTACCAATTTACAGGAAATAAGACAGAGCAATATTTTGGACACCATGGGGGTACAGTAGGCAAAATCAAGACTAGGAAATTCTTTTGTACAAATATCCATTGTCTTCTACAAATAAATGGCAAAGAAAGACATAGAGGTTGTGAGTGGGAACATATATATATTAAATGAAATGAGATAAAATTTCAATGTTATGGACTATCCTTGCATCCTGATTCAAAAAAATGACTAAAAACATATGAAACAACAGGGAATTTGAACACTGACTGCACATGTGATGATATTAAATAATTGTTTTAGTTGTAATGATATGGCCTTGTTAAAAATAAAAGAATGTTCATATTTTAGAGATGCACCATAAGACATTTATAAATAAAATACTGTCTAGAATTTGCTTCAAAATAATCTAGTATGTGTGTGTTAGGGTTGGGCACAGAAATGAAACAATGAGTCCCCATTTGTTGAAAATATTCAAAGTTAGAATTGCGTGAATGCATGGGAGTTCATTTTCTTATTGCTTCTATTTTTGTATTTATAATCTTGATTTTGAAATTTTCCACAATAAAAAAAATACATTTAGGTTATTCATTTATAGTATGTTTTGTTGGTAATCATAGTGATTTTTCTTTTAAATATATCTTTATTGATTTCAGAGAGAGGAAGGGAGAGGGAGAGAGAGAGAGAGAGAAACATCAATGATGAGAGAGTCATTGATCAAGCCCGCAACCCGGGAATGTGCCCTGACTGGGAATAGAACCGCGATCTCCTAGATCCTAGGTCGACGCTCAACCGCTGAGCCATGCCCGGCCGGGCCATAGTGATTTTTTAATGATGACAATGTGCCTTCATTTTAGTACTATGATGTTTTGATCCCTATAAATGCACATCAAATACATTATTTCTTCAAATTTCCTCAATAAACACGTAATATTTGTATGATTATTCCTATTTATTTGACATCAAAGCCTTTACTCTTTCAACTATTTACCTTTCTGCCATTCTGTCTAATTAGTGGTTGAAGGTGATAGAAATTTCAGTTGCAAGTTTATCAGTGAAGAAATTCTTTTAATACTAATAGCTAATAATTATGAAATAATAACATTTATTATTATTATGCGCCAGGCAGTGTTCTAAGGGCTTTGTGTGTTATTTCTTTGATACCCTCTGAAGTAGAACTTTTATTAACTAAATGTGTTTTATTGTGCCTGGAAAGCTTGCATATTTCTATAGTCATCCCTCTAGAATCTAAGTTATTTCTCTTCTGTAAGACATATAAATTCCTCCTTTGTTACTATTAGAAATGATATGATACTGTATTAAAACACCTTGCTGACTGATCATGAGATAACTCGTGTCTACACTTACACTAAGTAATTTTAAACACCGTGCTGACCGGTCACAATGGAAAAGCAGCCGGCAGGCAGCATGAGCGAGTTCTGGCTCCAAATAGCTGGTCAGCAAGGTGTTCAGTAGCCTTATACACAAATCTTGAGTCTTCACTTTTGGTATTTTTTAGTAGAGTCTTATGAGTGACATTACTAGGCAAAACTAGTTTTAAACTTATGATATATATTATGAAAATGCTTTCACTGAGTCATGGTAAGTGACACAGGACAGTGGAAACATTGGATTGCTAGGAAAGATCTAGAATATGGAATTCTGTCCAGCATACCAAGGCAATTCGGAAAACGCCAAATTTCTGCAAGGGGGTGAAAAAAGAGCATCAAAGACTTACTGTGCAGATGTGTCCATTGCTTATTTCCAGCCCCACGGAGCAACCCTGGCGTTTCCACTGCCAGCCTCAGGCCTCTCCACCCGCAGGACGCAGGCACATTACACTGAGTCACATTTGAGAATTTAAAGTGTAATTTGTCAGGCATCTTTTGGAACAAGCTTGGGTGTTTCAACTGTCTTGAAATGGTATCTGGAAAAAGTCAGATAGCAACAGGTACTACCTGGGAAAAGTCAGATATAGGCCATTTAATAGGGCAATTTACTTTAATGTTTAAGATACATTGTTTTAGTCACTTGTGTGCACTCCAACTATATAAATAAGGTGCCATAGAGTCAAAGAAGTGAGATATCAATTTCTAAGGCATCACTCTACTCCTGCTTCTTCAAGGATATGAGCCCAACGACCACTTCTTGCAATAACTAATTTCCTCACTGCATTGAAGAGCTATGAGCCACAACTTCTGTAGTTGTGGCCTCTTCCCTTGGAGCTAAAGTCACACCAAATGACAAAGGAATATGCCACTTCCACACTCGTAGTTACTGAATTTTTTTCCTCTCTCTGTCCTCTCAGGAGGAACTGATGGCAGCCCCTGCTTCTTGGCTCTGCCTATAGGTGGCAGACCCTTCAGCCTCTGCGTGAGAAAGACGCCTAGCACCCTGGGTCAGCCAAAATAGGCCAGCACAGGGGCTCATGCAATTTAGCCACATCAGAATCCCCCGGAGGACTTGCTAAACCACAGGTTGCTGGGCCCTGTCCCATAGTTTGTAATTCAGTAGCTCTATGGTGGGGCTGAAAATGTGCATGTCTAACAAGTTCCCAGGCAATGCTGATGGTGGTGGCCAGAGGACTGCGCTATGAAGCCAGCGGGTTGGTTATGCTGCAGTGACAAATGACCCCCAAATCTCAGGTTGATTTTCCTTTCATGTCTCAAGCTTGCCACAGACTAGCTGCAGCTCTGCTTTGTCATCTTCCCTCCAGAACCTTGTATGACGGAACAGCCTCCGACTGGAGCATTGCTAGTCTCATGGCAGAGGGCAGAGAGGATGTGGTAAATTATTGGTTAGCTCTTAAAGCTTTAGCTGATATTTCATTGGCTGAAGTAAGTCACGTGGCTAAATTTGATGTCAGTGGCAATTGAGGGGCCAGACATTTTTGTGAATAACTACACAGCCTACCATATCCCTCAGTATAAGTTATTCCCTTCTTCCATGGTAAATGTGCTCAAGTTTTGACTGGACAAATGTCTGCCCTGAATAAACACTGGATTTCGCAGATTCTCCTGCAGTTAGGTGTTGGCCAATACCAGTCATGGCCAATGGGATATAAGCAGAAAGTTGTACAGTCATTCTAAAAACCTCCCTGAAATGACAGCACGTATGTGCTCTCTCTGGCTCACTCTCTTTCACTCCTCTCTTCATCCTTTTGCCTGCAATGAAGATGCTAACATTTTGGAGCATGAGGTGAAGGCTGTGCCTCCAAATAGCAAAGATATAAAGCATGTGGAACATCGGACACGCCCCAGGCCACCAACCCACACTTCTAGATGAGAGAGAAATAAAATTCTATCTTGTTGAAACCACTGTTATCTGAGGTTTCTGTCACTCACATCTGAATATAATTCTAACTAATGCACCCTCAGAAATGTTTTCTTTTGAAGTCTGCTCACTTCTGTCTGCAGCTTCTTGTGTCCCACTCATTCGCTGGCTAGCTTCTGAGCTTATTTCTTTCCTTCACACCTCTTTTATCATTCTTAACAATGCAGTGAAAGTGTCTACAAAAAAGAGGTCAACCACAGCTTCGTTCATTCTAGGAACACAGACTAAGGAAGATGATAGTTGCATAGATTTTGATGGTGGAAAAAGTAATAACAAGAAGAAAAAGCTTGTCTAGCTAGAACTTTCCTAAAAGAACTCCAAAATAGTCTTCATTAAATAGCAACAAAGACAATGTTCTTCTTTATTGCCAAACCCTTCCCTGCAATTCAGGAACATTTCTGAAGTCTGGGTCTATGTGATTTGCATGCCACAGGATACCTCATCCGACCACAAGGAGAACCAGCCAGCTGTAGGTGTTTAAAGATAGCGGTTAGAGATCATGTATCATAGAAATGGACACTTGAAACCTATATGATCTTATTAGCCAGTGTCATCTCCAATAAATTTAATAAAATAATTAAAATAAAGGTAAGTGTTAGAGGCCTGTGGTCACCCTGTCTTCACTCTTAACTCCCCATCCTCATCTCTGCACCCTTTGCCAGTTTTCCCCCAATCTGCCTGTTTTACCATCTTCATAATGTCTGTTGTCCACATCTCCCCACAGACAGAGGGAGCAGCTGGAGAAGAGGGAAGAGAAGAGAGTCAACGAAAATCAAAAGGCTGGAAAGGGGAGGAAGAGGAATCAAATGAGAGAAGACTAGCTCCAGAGTGGAAGGGGCTCTTTCTTGATTAAAATCAGAGTCATGAATATTCAAGGTTTCATTAGCACACAATAAAGAGCTTCAGAAACTAATCCATAATGTTCCATCAGTGTACAAATGTAAGTTACCACTTTAGTTACACAAGTGTGGTTTGTAAACTACACACACACACTTTCAAGAGCACTTCTTTTCTGATGGAGAGTCATTTGTTGGGGGCATTTCACATGTACAATCTATTGCACTAGACACCATCAGTCATTTAATGAAACAAAATGTCCCAACTTGACAACGGCTTACTTCTAAAAAACAAAGAACAAAACAAAAGCTAGTTTTCATCATCAAATAGGTTTGAGAATTAAAAATACTTAAAAGATTAAATTAAAAAGATATTTCTTTTCTCTTCATACAAACCTCCCGTCCCCCATGCCAAGGTAAAGAGAACTTACAGTTGTGACTTTTGGCATTCAAACCACTAGAATTGATGATCTCTGGAAGCCTCAAAGGAAAAACCCTGTTGTGTGTACATGTGGCCACAGCCATCACCATAGATTCCAACTAGGCCTGTGAGCCTCAAAGGGCAAGTGTAAACAAAAGTTTCTAATTAAACTTGAGTTTAGCATTAGTAAGACTGTCCAAAGATTACATTGAAAGATAACTGAAGTGTTACTATATTCCTTTGTGAAGCCTAGCCATGACCCTAATTAATGTGTCTAAGGTAGACATGTATTTCTTCAAGTAATGGATGATTTTGTTTGGACAATTAGACCAAGCTGACAAGGAAATTTTCCATCAAATCAAGTCATAAAAAGTACATTATTCAGCATTATTATGAGTTAAGCAGTATTTATTACCTGAACTTTACAATAGTCTATTATCAATCATTACCTGCCATTAAGGTATGTTAACATGAGATCAAAGAAGGAAGTCAAGCTAAACAAACAGTCATGTCTACACGTCGCTTTAGTGCTATTCATTTAAAGAGAGGCAAATGCTGTTGAACTTAAGGATGGACAATTTGCATTTAACCAGAAGATGCAAATCAGTTGTACTGTGACAAGGCAGGGATTATATAAATTCCATGCTTGATATTCGATAGCCAAGACAAAGCTGTTTTCTAGGGAATTTCTAAAAGAAAAAAAAAATGTAGTCCAAGTAAAATGTGAGATACAAAAGTCCAGTTTTGATGGGCTCTAGTAAAGATTCATTGCTGTATCAATTCTCAGTAACAAGGCTGCCTCGGAAGTCACTAAAAATGATATCAGCTGAATGGATCTAAAGAGGAGACCAAATGTTTTTAGCAAAGTTGTAAAACCTTGGAAACCACCTCCTGAACAAACACTCTGAAAGCTCAGAAGTCTAAGACAAGCTTACAACACCCTGCCTTTAAAATATATTCTTGTCACTACCTCTTCCCTCTTACTCTGGAGCCAAGAGGACAAAGAAGGTTGCAGAACGGTACCCCTTTGAAAAGTGCATTCCTCCTCCTTCATTCCAGAAGCACATGATCGCTTGCTTTCTGAAATAAAGATCTTTCATTAATGCCCATTGGCTTTCTTCCCTCATCTTAAAGCTGATGTTCAAGAGATGGCTAGTGTTCAGCTTCAGCTCAAGGTTATTACAAATAGCTGGACGAGCTCTTCAGTGCTTCTCTACCCACCACTGCTCAACACAGGAAAGTGTTCATTTGAGGATCAAACATCCCTATAACTTTATATCTGCCTTTTCTGACTGATCTAAGGTGGATGATATGTACCCTTGGCAAAGGAAAAGATATGATATTCTTATATTCTTTACATTTATCATAGGTAATCCTGCAGACTTAATGTGGCATTTTTGCTTTTCATAGGACGCTAGCTAGAAATTTGTTTTCCAAGTTTCGTTATTTAAGGAATTCTCAAAGTTGACTAAACAAGTCACTTTTGACCAACTGTTAGCCAATCAAGGAGGTATATTGAGCACCTTACTACAGCAGGGATTCACAATAAAAAAAACTTGGCCTCTGTCTCGTGAGGTGCAAGGCTACATCCGAAGAAAGAGGGCTCATACCCTTAGCAAGGGGTGGAAAGAGTAATGAGAGAAGAGGGAGGAGCGGGCACCATGGGTTAGCCCCTGAAAGGCAGATGCAAGGAAGTGGAACAAGGTGCAGACATTAGCAGTGGTCAGAGGCGACCCTTCCTGTTCCATCCACCCCACTGAGTTATAGGAATACATATGGCACAAGTAGACCAATCTGACAGGTAAAGAGAAGATTTGCGTGGACTCTGAGGAAGGATCTGTACATTTGGAAGGTATGTTTGGAACCAAATTGTAAAGGACCTTGAAGGCCAGGCTCATAAGAAAGAAGTTGATCCAGTTAAGTAGTGCCTTTCCTCTGTTTGTTTTTTTCTAAAGAGGGACATGGCATGAAGGAGATAGCATACAGAGAAGACTTGTTTGGTTTGGTGGAAAATATTGGGAAGGATGGAGTGTGGAGAAGCTAGAAGCCAGGAGGCTAGACCTAAAGTTACCATGTCAGCCTGTCCGGGCTCTAGGCTGGTGTGAGTGGCAATCTGCTGGAAAACTAGAAAGAACAGAGCAATGAGGGAGAGAAGCCCAAAGCTTGGAGCCATTGGAGCCATTGCTATGTATGGCAAATATGGATGCTTGGATGATATAGTAGGAATAACTGATTGTCACCCAATTTCATTCTCTTATTCTTTCTTTGCTAACAGAACCCTGAATTTTAGAGACAGTGTTACAGAACAGTTAAGATAAAAAATTTTGAAACCAGTCTGGGGGGTTTAAATGTTCCCTCCATCATTTACTTTCTCATGACCTTGGGTGAGTCATTTACCTCTCTGTACCTCTGATGTCAACTTTTCTAACTTTAGCTCACATTTCTTCCTTTACAAAACCTGCATTTATTCAAACCAAACTCCTACTCTTCCCCTATCCTTGCTTCTTCGCCATTCTTTGTACCTCTCCTTTCTGGAATGGCTCTCCTTCTGCCCCAGACGCCCCACCACTGGTACCTAATCCATTCGTTAACAAACAGATGAAACGCGTTTCTTCATGAAAGACCTTTGGTCACATTCAGCCAATCTGTCTGATTTCCATCACATTTTAGATTTCTCTTGTCTCACTATCACACGCTACCTCAAATTATATGATATTTGTTAATATCTTACACCTCCTATTATTCTGTAGGTCAAAGATTTTTTTTAAATTTTTTTTTGTAATTTCCTCATACTGGCTGGACCAGAGCCTCAAACATGTGTTGAAATGGTGGGCTAGTGTTGAGCACAGGACACTACAGGAACAATGCTTTTAGATTTTATACAAGACCCTGTGAAAAAAAGCCCTCTTTACTCCTTCATGGGATTGTTAAACTGGGTGATATAAGCCTAAAGTTGACCACCTGAAGGAAGGAAGCGTCTGGGTTGAAGGAGGAAAGCAATAAGGCTAATACTTTGAGAGAAAAAGAGAGGGAGCAAAGGAGAGAGGGCAAGCCAATGTGGTCAATGCTGTTTACAAAGACAGCTCCAGCCTCAGGCTTCCCCAGACCTGGGACCTAATAGTCTCCTTTGGTGTTCTTGCTTGTTTGAGGCAGTTTTTTATTCCTTGTGAATTAAAGAGTCCTCAGCATTTACATATGCTGAGAGGCTTCTTGTGTTTTGAAGCATGTAAGATAAAGTTACCCTAAACACATTCCTGCTGTGTTTCTAACATCTGTCAGGCACAACATATGTTTTTCTAAAGCTTCTCACTATTCTTGCTTCATTTAAGATGAGGGCATTTGATAAACACATCATATTAGTTGAAAAGTGATTATTATCTGCCCTATCAATTATTGATAAGGAACTTAAATTAAATGAAAAGAATCCACAGCTTGATGGGTGTATTACATTACTGAGAACTGCACCCTTTCTCAATCTAACAGTCTGGGGGATTTCTGAGCTTCTTGACCAATCCAAATGTCATATTTCTAATGGCCCAATAAAGTACCCTAGTCTAGCTCTACTTGCCTCAGAAACTAAGGGAGGCTTCTAATACATGGGCGTTCTGCTTTTTACCAAAAGAGAGTACTCATCCCCAGAAATCCTGCATATCATCTCAGATAAACCAACTTCTGCTCATGCTGTCAGGAATTCCATCAGTGCTCTGCTTACAAATCCATCAGTCCGCTCTACTGTTTCTAAGAGAGGCCAGGTCATGCACTCTTCACACCTTTGAAAATGAAGTTGAGAAAGAGTCCCCACCACCTGGTACCATAACAGTAAAATCTAGGAGTTGTATCATTTTCAAAAGGTCAAAGGAAAAATTCTTCTAGGTAATTTGAAAACAGAAATAGTCATACTTGCAACCATAAGTCAGTTCTAGATGGATAAATTATACTTTTTTACAACATTATTTCAGGAGTCTTTTTTGTTGCTCAGAATTGAAACCAAGATATATTCATCAAGTTTGTACCAATATCCAGCTGATGGTTCTGGAAGTTTTGTTGTGAAATGCTCCCTTATAGGAAGCTCCCACTTGACAGTGAAAAGGACAGCGTGAAGCCTCTTGGGAGGAAATTGGTTAACACCTCTAAGTATCATTCACACAAATAGAGGAGCCTGCAATCTGAAGACTGCCTTGTGATTTCCCTGAGCACTTTCTTAGGAAGATGGAAGAGGCATCAGTGTCTCTCCATCTGGTTCCACTTATTGCAACAAATCACTTGAAAGTTTTGAAAAAAATAGTAAAGAGTAAAAATCTAATCAAACAAGGCACCCGATGGACAGTAGGTGACCCCAGTTGGGCAGGTCCTGAAACTTAATGGTAATTTGAGCCCCTGAAGTGGCTTCTGACCAAGTCACAGGGACACCATTTATTATCAAAGCCTGCAATTCTTCTTGTTGTCTTTCATGGATTGTTGGGGAAATTTTTTGCAAAATTTGGCCTCAATCAAGTTTATCAACAGTTGATTATTGACAATAGTCTTCACATCTTTTCCCAGTACTTAATAGAACACTATTTAGTTTTCAAGTGATTCATATCCAGAGATCAACTGAGAAAAAACTGAATGACAGATATCAGGAAATATCTTGGATCATTTCAATGCATCGAATAAAAAAGGGAAATAAATGTGAAATTAGAGATTCCAAGGCCACAGTACGTTATTAGAAAACTAGCTGGTGACAGCAAGCAACTTATTTAACCTCTCTGAGCTCTAGTTTTCTCATCTATATAATAGGAATAAAATACTTTACTCATAGCACAATTACAAGGATTTAATAAGACATAACAGATGTAATACATGTGAACACAAATAGCACAGTGCCTGGCAGTCAGTGAAGTTTTAGTAAATACGGTTGCCATGTGTCTGGTTTTAGACCAGACAGCTTGGTATTTGAGTTTTCTGTCTGAGAAACAGATCGAAAAAAGACCAGACGTATAAATGTAAATGTGAGTAAGTGCTATTATTGCTACCATGACATGTCTTGTGCATGAGTACTCGAGCTTTCTCTCACTAGAACAATTTGCAGCTGGGACTGAGTGCGCCCGCCTCACTGAGACATGCTTCAGGCGCCACAATACGGAGGAGCTCAGCATGCGCTTTGCCAAGTACCGAATTCCATCCCTGCTGCGGGCCAGGTGCGTGGGGTAGACCGTGCAGTGTTTTCAATGTTGCCTTTTACAACTGCAAAATGTACAATTCCTAACAGTGCGGGCCTCTGTCCAGCCTCATTTTCCTGTCATCTCTTATCCTTCTCTTTGGTAAAGGGGGATTAGGCAGTTTTATGCTAAAGAACTGACTGCTTAACAAATAAGAATTTTGGATTTTTATTTTACTTCTCAAATTGCTTAAGAAAGAAGTCAATGTTTTTTCCAGTAAGAAATTTATTTTACCAAAATTACACTTACCAATTCTTGTCATTAATTAATCAAAATCCTAGACAGGCCAGCACAACTCATGTGCCCAGCTTTCCCTTGAGTTTGGACTTGTCTGCCTGAAAAGCCCAGCTCAGAAAAGCCCCAAAGACCTGTTTTTGCCTGGAAGTGGCACCTCTCATAAGATCAAAATGTGATCCTTACCTCAATGCCCACTTGATACAGAAGTCCAATCGACTGGGCTGGCCTGAGTGATACTTACCCAATTCGTATTCTATTTCACTTCCACCAAAGGGAGACAAGCATTGTTGAGCTTCTTCATTGCCAATCAGAAAAATTATCCCACGTCGTTGGATTCAACAGCCTAGAATGTCAAACAATATTGCTTTCTAACCTAGTTTTTAGTGCAGATTTCAGTTTCTTTCCAAAGACGTTTCACCTGATGGTTCTGGACCCTTGATTATCCTCAAAACACCAGAGACACTGAAAGTTCCCTCCTCAAGAAGAATGTAGCCAATAGAACAACACCATACCCCAACTGAAAACTTTTAAACACTTCCTAAGAATAGAGTCGATTTCCAAATTATATGAGGTTATGTCCTTACAGTTTGTAATGAAACTGATCTTGGGAGAAAATCTCCTCTCTCAGGAAAAGCCTGTTCCCTGAGTTGTTGCCTATAAATACAGCACCAATGCCCAGGATCGCCTGCCTGTGCTCGGGCTTAGAAGAGTGAAGTTGAATGCGGTGCCTAGGTCCTGTGGTGCCCCTGCCCACTGGAAGTTTCTGATGTCCCTGGATCCGAATGACTCACTTCTTTAGACTAATTCTGTTGAGCAATTAATTGTACAGGGTGCCTTGTGGATTTATGTCTTTAACTGGGATAAAGGGGGTTTCCAATATGGCAAATATCTTAGGCAGTCAGCAATTATACAGACTATTCATATTCAGTTATTTTCAAAAAGAAATTGTGTGAAGAATCTATTGTTTTAGAAACTGACATCATGCCATCCTTACTTCCTCGATAGAAGTGAGGGAGGAGTAGTGTTTTAGTCCACTGAAACTGCTGTAACAAAATGTCACAGACTAGATGGTTTAAAGCACTGACATTTATTTCTCACAGTTGTGAAGGCTGGGAGGTCAAGATCAAGTTTGGAGCAGGTTCAATATCTGGTGAGGACCCTCTTACTGGTGTGCACCCTCAAAGGATAGGGAAAGATAAAGCTCTGGTTTCTCCCCTTCTTACAAGTATACTAATCCCATCATGGGAACTTCACCCTCATGACTTCATCTAAAGAAGTAGTTTCCAAATATCGACAACAGCAGCACCTCATTGCAAATGCAAATTCTCGGGCTCCACTCTAGACCTACTGAATCAGAAACCCTGAAGATGTAGCATATATACATATATATACACACAATAAAATATTATTCAGTGGTAAAAAAGAAAGAAATCTTTTGCAATAATATGGATGGACATTGAGGGCATTATGCTAAGTGAGATAAGTTAGACAGAAAAAGTCGAATGCCATGTGCTCTCACTTACATGTAGAATATTAAAAAAAAGGCTGAAGTCATAAGTTAGAGTAGAATGGAGGTTGCCAGGACTAGGTGAGTGGCGGGGGCATTGGAGATGGGGGGTGTTAATCAAAGGGTACAGATTTCTGGCTGTAAGATAAATAAGATCTAGGAGTCTAATGCACAGCATGGTGATTATAATTAGCAACACTGAATTATGTACTTGAAAGTTGTCAAGAGAGTAGATCTTAAATGTTATCACCACGCAAAAATAAATTGTAATTATGTGAGGGGATGGAGGTGTTAACTAACCTTGTTGTGTCAATCATTTTGCAATATATATGTGTATCAAATTATCACATCGTATACCTTAAACTTACATATATTATATGTCAATAATATTTCAGTAAAGCTGAGGTGGCGGGTAGAAACTCTGGGGGTAGGGCCCAGCAGTCAGTCTTTTAACTAGCCTTCTAGGTGAGTCTAATGTATGCTAATGCTTAAAAACCCACTGTTCTGGAAACCAAGCAGAAAGACTTTAGGTCAAAGGTGAAGAATAATTTTCTGCCATGATCATTAACACTGATGTGGGACATTTCAAAAGGCTGGACTTGGATCTCCCTATTTGGCCCTAATGAACAGGAGGGGCCCCTTGGCTCTACAATGTCTTTCCACCTTTATCATTCCCTCTCTCAAGTAGAGAGCACACACCACCAAATCTTCAGGTGACCACTCAGCACTCATCAACAACAGAAAAAGCTCACTCCTAAAATTTAACCTAACAAACAACTGAATATTCTGACCTCATGTGTAGGTGCTGGAAAAACAATCAGCAGGAACCGGAAGGGTGTCATCAC